CCTTGGTAAGGACATAGGATGGACAATATTTATTATAACTATGAACTACTATCTCTTATTGTTGTTGATAAGTGTTAAATGAGCTGGCTGAATTTTCTCAAAACTTTCCGGACACCCTAATAAAGTCAAATTCCCTTTCACACTGAAAATAGCCTCGGATAATCTTAACTGACTGGAAACCTTTCCATGCTCCCCATTTCACCCATCACGATGCTGTGCGTATGGGCTGCGTAGGTAAGATACGTACCTTGCGATCCGACGATGCAACATAATCGACGACTACGCTCATATGATTAAATACGTATTGATCCGACGTCAAAAACGCCCACTAAGCCGCCTTCTTACCTTGCAGCAATGAAGGCAGTATGGCGAAAAGAATTAGATATTTATAGTTTAAACATACGTTTACGACTTCCGGAAATAGATCGATACATATCTAGTTCTTTTCGTCAGTTCTTCATACCTGCATTTCTTCAATTAATCAATCCTACACTCTCACAAGGTATGAATTGAAGGCGACCTACGGCGACGTGATCGCAAGCTACGAACGCTCCCTACAATCATGGTAACTGGGCTATTCAGGCCAAGTGGAACTCTTGCCATTCTTTTCTTGGATGATTCTGCATCAAAGCTTCGTCCCCAGCATCTGGTTTTTTTTTCAAAAAAAACGTTCACAAATCAGGCACTTTACTTTTTTTCCTCCTGTTGGAAAGTCCATAATAGTTTGTTGCGTGTTGATCTATGTTGGGCTTTTCTTAACATGATGATTATTCCAGTTTTCACCCTGTTCGTCGTATTTTTCACCTTTTGCAAAACAGTGCTCGAGTTGCATAAGAGCGCGTTCAGGCTTCACGATCGATCCTAGATTACCTGATTAAGAGTAATTTTGTTATTTAGGCCACGAAGAACTAAGGGGAAGCGAAAAAAGAAAATTTCTGGAAGAATCCCTACTAGTCGCTCTGTCTAGTCTAAAATTACCAGAGCCTAGTAAGGAAAAGTGTCGGCCTGACCTCTTAATTCCACACCTATTCCTTTAGATCTGTAATTTTACACGATCTTCTCAGCGACAACTTTTTGGTCGATTTTTCCGCACTTTCACACACTTACTCTATTACCAGTGGCGGGCATCTCAAATATTCCCTACCTTCCGGGCATCATCCCCCCGGGAATTCAAAGCAGGCTAAGGAGAAATTTTTTCCCATCCAAAAATAGAGCTTCAAAAACAATTTTCCCAAAGAACAGCAGACGACCTGGTCATTGGAATAGTAGCGACATAAGATAGTAAAATCAGCAGCTCTGACTGGGAGATACTGGCTTTGAGAATCGAACCGCGGCCTTAAACAGCAGTTACCACAGTGAATTCCCAAATATTTTTTGGGATATAGGACATGCGATATTCATATATTTCAACTATTATGACTTGTGTGCGATTCTCTGGAACTTTTTTTCCCTGTCAAAATTCCTTTCAGAGCTCCCACTGTTTGATTTAGTTTTTGGTTTAGTTCGGGAACACTTGCTACTGCAATTCCGTCATACAAGCTTTGTACTTTTGTCGACCGTTTCGTGAAAAAATTCTGCAGTATAAGCAGCAGTTGAAGAAATCAGGTGGGTCATTTCCAATAATCTTTCCTTTTTTGAAATAATCGCATTAATCTGGCCCTGGGCCATCACATTTTTGGATGATCACACTATTTTTGTTCTCGCCTCGCCATAACTGAAATAAACAGTAATTCACACGTTCGAGGTGGCGTGCTTCCAGGAGTACACCGAATCGAATGGCGCATTCGA